TAAAAGTTTGATACTTGTCATAGTGTTCATTTCGGCAATTCAGTCACGAATCCTTAATGCTAAAATTTTGAATATCGAAAAGGATTTAGGCTTTCCTTCAAAATTTTAATTCAAAATTTGAATGTAATCCGCATAGACATGTTCTGCATTATTACTAATTTCTATATCGACCAATTCGTATATTACCCTTCTTAATATTCAAACACTTTCCCAGTTTCCTATTAAGTCCCTGATATTTCTACCACTAAAAAACACTTTGGTCAGTCTTAGGAAGGAGGTTTTCCATTTCATCATTATATCTGTTTATCTTTATTCTGACTACACTTTTCCATCGATATTAAAACTTCCATTTAGTCTATTTGCGTTGATTGTTTCCTCAAATCCCTCTGTTATTTTACAAGTGCATTAGCGAACTTATCGGACATTTCCCTAACAATCTGATCTACAAGTTTAATTGTAATAAGCTCTTACCGTCACCGATGTTGCGCAACGAACTGTCAGTCGTCATGGCTCCACGCTGACTGCTGTCCAGGCAATTCCGCGTTGGTGGACATCGCCTTCCCGACATTCCTCTCGATGGCGCACGTCACTGTTTCTCTCGTCACCTCGCCGTCCTGTGTTTTGCCGTGTGGTTCTGCCTCCATCTCTCAGCCATGGCCTCCCTCGCTGCACAGTTCGTTTGGGGGGAGCGTCCATCCGTAGCACCCACTGGATATACGAGCCAGTCAAACTTAAGGATACTGAGGTGGTAACACTAGCCATGACGAACCGTATTCATGTTGACAAATGTAGAAAAGGTATGAATGAGAATGAGGTAATTTTTTATATAACGTCCGCATGACCGACATCGACGATTTTCGTATCATTGGATTCCTCTCACTCTATACAATGCAAACATGTAGGTTTTATTGCGGGAAACCCCCTGTTAGCGACAAACTTGGCCCCAATAGCGGGGGCGACGATGTCGGACGGCGGACGTAAATATAATATTACCCTAATAATATATCCTCAGTGAAAATAATCATGGTTATTCAAATGGCTTTCCATTGCAGGGGGCTGCGCCCCTGCGACCCCCCTTGGGGAGGCCTGCCGCCCCCAACCCCCGCCGAGGAAACGAAACCTCCAACACATATTCACGGCAGGATAGAGCGCACACGAACTAGATGCGGAGCCGATAACCTACAATAACCTAGGATTTTTAAGGTACTAACCTGATTGATTAATGCCACTAATTAGTAGGGAGGGCGCTCCTTTGCCGCAGAATGTTAAGGAGGCAGGGTGCGTCCGGCAGGAGGTCCTAGGCCGGAGGATACAGCTTTCTCCGACGGAGGAGGCCGTGGCGGAAGCACATCTCTAGCATTTTTTCCTGGCTAGTTGCAATTTCGCGCAGAAAATCCGTCTCCGAATACGAGCATCCTCACACTCGGCCATCGCGGCGGCTATGACTGCCTTCTGAACGCGACAGTTATTTCGGTTAGGAATACGAATGTCGTTATTCCAGAGGAAGGGAAAATCGACCATGAGGCCATCGTGTAACATCGAAAGCGGCGCAAAACCCGCCCACGAGGGCGGGCCACCCTGTTCATCCTGATTATACTACAATCGTCTATATACAATGCTGACTATGCCAAGGTTAATATGCTGATTCAGTGGAATCTTACGAGAGGTAATTGTAATATTACGGCCGCCGCTCCGACATCGACGGTTATTGTGTAACGCTCTAGCCTGACGGGAATACGTGGTGGGAGGTTTTGTTTCCTCGGGGGGTTTGGGGGGCGGCAGCCCCCCCAGGGGGTCGCAGGGGGCACAGCCCCCTGCAATGGAAAGTTATGTGAATAACCATGGTTATTTTCACTGTGCGTTATGTTATTAGTGTTATTTAACCCTGCATTTTCCCTGGAACCTTTCATGCCCTCCCTGCTAGCGGGGCAAGTTTGTCGCTAAACGGGGGGTTTCCGCGCAATAAAAACTATATATTTGCAATGTGGAGAGTGAGAGGAATCCAACGATACGAAAATCGTCGATATCGGTTATTGCGGACGTAATATAGAAATTAACGAGAAGGAATATCTTCACGATACAAGAGATGTATTTGACCGGTTTCGAATATATCTTCGTCAGAAATACATACATTTGAGAAAATACACATATTTATACTACATGTGATTCATCAGTTCCCATGTAATATAAGTATACTGTGGTTTTTCCTCAAATGTATGTATTTCTGACGAAGATATATTCGAAACTGGCCAAATACATCTCTTGTATTGTAGAGATATTCATTCTCATTCATACCTTTCTACACTAGCCATGACGTCAAAATGACGTCACACGGCAGGGTATTCTCTATAGCCTCGGGGCATAAACTTTACCCGGCCAAAACTGTCTGGAGTCACGCTTGTCTCTAATGTACTCTATTTTACACTAAGTCAGAAATATCAAAATCGGGTTTCACTGCCACCAAAGTCTAGGTGATCTTACACATGTGTCTACACCTCAC